TAAAAGACCCTTGATTTTGGGTATTTTGACCCGTTATTCATCCCAGAACCAGACCCTTGTACCGGGGATTGGGTTGTTGTTATACTATTATGAAGTCCTATCATGAAAGAAGTTTGCATTCCAGATGGTGGTGGTTCCCTAAGTGGCCTAAATGTTTCAAATCCTGGAGGCTTATGGGTTGAAAATTGGGCTTGGTTTCCAACATGTGTAAAAACCGAACCAGTTTGGGCATTCGAAGGAATGCCCGCTACACTCGAAGAAAGTGGCATGGTTGTCGAATTATTTGTGGCCACTGAACCTATAGATGTAGGTATGGCCTGTGTCTGATGGATTGTGGTTAATGTATCCATCGAATTTGTAGCGACCGTGCTTGATCCCTGTGGGGGATTTTGTTCCCCGTCATGGCTAGTTGTGTTAACCATATTTCTTGTATATTTTCTTTTGGGTTTTGGTTGGTTACTGTTGGCTATTTTACCACTTCTAAGGTTCATACTACAATAACGAAAGACGGACTCAAAAGATGAACGACGAAAGATAGACGCTCACAGAAAAATACAAGTTTTTCAAAAACGTCGACACTGTCCCACTGGGCGTGCCAATTTGTTTACGCGTGAATTTGGTAAAAAAACCGCTAGTCCTCCAAACTAAATACTTTGGTAACTTACAGGATCAACTAGATTGATCATAGGACATGTGTATAAGTTTCTAAGATTAAATTTGTAATATGATTCATGTTTAACATTATTTTATTGATAACAATGTAAAGATTAGAATTATAATTTAAAGTAAGTTCGAATAAAAGGGCTTCAAATGAGTAATGCAAAGGTTTCGATTGGAAACGTAAAGAAACGTAAAGGAAATGCAGAATAAATGTAAATGACTTGAAAAAGTAAAAGTTTTGACTAAAAAGTAAAGGAAATACTGGAAATGTTAAAAGACTTGATATTGATAAAATAAAATGATTCGCAAAGAACAATAATGGTGTCTATACGTACATTTTCTGCAACTATTTTCTCTAACACTTGGTACTTCGAGTATATTGAGTAATTTATACAAAATGAACACCCTGAATCCTAACATTAAGATCCATATTTATACTAATTTGACCCTAACGATATTTCTATAATAGAGTGTCACGTTCGAAGATTGCATGTCCTTCGAACCCATCAGACTTCCACGCGTCTTCTATGACTCAAACATTCGATTTCAAATTCAAATTCCTCACTTCTATTGGCGCCAAGTTTTCGACGTATATATCCAAAAACTTTCGATTTTAAAATATACTTAACGAATATTTATTATATTCGTTTTGTCTGTCCATCGAACCATTTCAAACGCTTGGGTTTTTACTCAATTTAATCCAAACGAAGCCCAAACACCAAAAACAATATTAATGCGTTCAAACAACCGCTGTAATCGAAATTCCAAGTCAACACACAGACGACGCCATTGATCTTACCAGTGATCATAAGTCAGCGTCCAGCAAGACGATGTTCAACGAAGGTGGGGGTGTACCTGCTAACACTCTGATGCTTAAGTCAGTCGGGTGAAGAGGTAGTGAGAATAAGGGTTAAGAAGTGAGTTGAAGGGTATTTATAGTGTGTCCCCAACGCTGGGCCAATAGTCTCCATTATAACTATGGACTAATTATCCAAGCCCATAATGCATGAGTGCCATAATTTCCACGTGATAGTGAGGATGAGTAGCACGTGTTCATCATCATGAGTCAACCACCTCGTAATTCCTAGATCATGGGTGGACTTACCCGTTACGAAGGCAAGACGATTTTATCAATCACACAAAACGCGAGGGTGCAATTGGTGATGTGTCCTCAAGTGAAAAGCACGTAGAAAAATGCGTTATCTACGGACCCCAATGAATTAGGCTAATACTTTAGGCCGTCCTCAATATAATGTTGGATTAGACGGTGCTCGATGGTGGACCAACCCATAAGCCCAATCCAAAACAATTTTCAATTGCCCCATTTGACACCTAGAATACATCATGCCATTTAGCTTCGCCTCATTAGCCACAATAGTTTTGATCGCCCCATTTGGCACCTATATGTTATGCATAAAACAACATACAATTGAAAATTATATACCAATTGGGACGATATTTAATGTAGTCTAGATGCATCATTTGCATAAAGTTGTGATTTTTAACTTATTTTTATTTGTATTATGTTTTTAATTTTATGTGGAAAGTATTTTATTATTCTTCTAATTTTATGTTATTAAGACTATATGGTTGTATATTTTTATGGTTTTGAAATTCGACCCCTTACAAAATACAATAGGTGTGCATGAAGAGGCATAACAACCTATAATTCAATGCATGGACTATTTTAAGAAAATAAAATTAGGCATAACAACCCACAATTCAAAGTGTGAAGCATTTTAGACAACTGATCTAATCTATTTCTCTATTATTAGCTACTTAATTTGAGGCACGATTCATAAAATCATAAATCACGAAGATCCTCTATCTTTCACTCCTCACTCCTTCGAGTCAGTACGCCATCAACTCAACCCATCTCTACCAACCATTCTATCTTTATTCGAAACGACGACTTCAAAATTACTCTAGTACCAGTTTCAATCCTTTCACTTTTCTAGAAACTATAATGCTCCCTATTTTCAATCCCAAACATTATTTGGAAAGATGTTTTCCTTTAAAAGCTGCTACTATTTTTTCTTGAGAAAATAATTTTCTTTTAAATAGTAAAATTAAACAAGAGTTTTCAAACATAGAAAAATTCACCTATGTATTACTAAAAGAACTGAAGTTACAACAATATAAAATAATAATATGCTAAGAGTGCTCTTTTTAAAAATTGATAGATATAATCAAAGTCTCATTTCTTTTCGGAATGATTCTCGCACCAACTATTTTTTTCTCAATCGTTTTGTCAATAGTGTCGAAGGAATGTCAACTACAAATGCAAATTAACTTTTAAATGATAGCCAAAAGAATCTTGTTTTCCAAATACAAATTCACTTTTACATTCCCTCTTCTCACCATCATCAAATCCCTAATTACACACATAATCTTGCTTTCCTTACCAAAAATTTATTTCCCTTCATTCCTAATATTCTTTCCATCACAAAGTGAAGTCAATTTAGCATAAATTTCGTCAGCACTAAACACAAATTCCACAATGTCACTTTTCCTAACCTCTGTTTCTTTCTCCGCCTAAGCCTAATACTTCAAAATATCTTAATGAACCATCGCCACCAAAACTGTTATGGTCGTTCAAATAATTGAAACTGGCGTAACTAGTTCTGAAACCATTCTCTACTCTCCTAACATTATCGCTTACCTGATTAGAGCTAAAGGATTCAAACCAATGCCGGAGTAATTTTGAAATCGCCCTTTCGAATAAAGACGTAACTGATGGTAGAGATAAGTTGAGTCGTACGCAAGTACTAACTTGGGGAGTTAAGATTATGTGAGTCTATGGTAGATTGATAGAGGATTTCCGAGATTTATGACTCTATAAACTATGCCTAAAATTCAGTAACTAATAATAGAAAATAGATCAGATCAATGGCCTAAAATAGTTCATGCATTGAGTTTTCGATTGTTATGCTTAACTTTATTTGCTTAAAATAATTCACGCATTGAGTGCGGGTTGTTTTTCTCTTCATGTTTACCTAAGGTTGTTTGTTAGGGTGGAATTCCAATACCACAAAAATATACAACTATATAGAAATAAATAAAAAATAAGAAGAAGAAGAATACTCACCACATAAAATTAAAAACTGAATAAAAATTAAAAAATTAAAAAAAAGAAGTTAAAAATCACAACTTATACAAATGATACATTTAGACTATCCGGATATCGCCGATATTGGCATAATATTTTCAATTGCCCCATTTGCCACCTAGAATATATCGCGCCAATTGGCATCGCCTCATTAGCCATAATAGTTTCGATCGTCCCATTTGACATAATAGTTTCAATCGCCCCCCATTTGACACCCATGACACAACTACATGCCATGCAATGTATGTTATGCAAATTTTCATTTCAATCATTACTATTTTTATCAATTCAATCAAAACTTTCAATTTTCTTTTAATCATTCATATAAACATCAATTTATGAGCAACAACAAGCAAGACACAAATAAATGTAATGCCACACAAAAATGAGATCTTTCACATATTGCATGAAATGTAATAAAAGTATTTTATCTCTATATAAAAGCTTGGTGGACTCTAAGTCAAGACATATTTAGATTTCCATAGGGTTAGTGAACTCATTAGGATGTAGTGAACCCCCATTACATATTCATATTTTCAATGACATAACAAAAACTACTAGTAAATAACAAATACACAAAACTCTGTGCCATACATGTATACTTTGCAACACATTTTTATACCTTTTACAACAACAAAAATCCACGTTACGATTATTCAAAACAAAAGATATCTCAAAACAACACATATCTCAATGCAACTCAACTACATATTCTAATTGTAATGGATGTTTTCAATGTAGGTAAATCATTTAAGTATGAGAAGGAGCAAGAAAAATACAAAAAATGAGATGTTTGAACTGTATTTTGATCTTTTACAAACCTTTCTAGAAATATTTTTTATACTTTTGAAACTCATTTTAGTACACATGTAAAATAAAAATACAAACAAAGCATAATTAATAGCATAAGGGAGAAAAATCACATATTCTCACACTAGTTTACAATCTAGTCCATTTGTTAGAGATATTTACCTTTAAAAACAAATGATTTTCCACTAAGTCTCATTAGGTGACATGTGTTCTCTAAGTTTGCAGGCTCTTTGAATTCTTTGACAAAAGTTCAACAATCCATTTGAATTTCAATCAACAGAAGTTCAAGTATGTATGTGATGGAGGGAGTGAATTGCTAGCATTCCTCACAAAGCACATCCACAATGCATGAAATTCATAATTAAGCTGCATTTTACATGTATACTTACTAAAGAGGTTCATGGAGACAAAGTGCATGTCATTAGAATTTGTAGACTTTTCTCCTCTTCAAATTTTTGGATGATCCAGGCTTTGCAATTGTAACATAAATAAACCTGCCATCAAAAAACTGAACCACAAAATCCAGCTCCAAGGTAATCAATATTTGTAGTATTGACAGTATACATCTCACAGGTGGGAAATTAAGGCTTTTATAAGTTAATGCATACCTTTCCATTCGTCTCATTTGCAGCCGATTGTGCAGACTCCTCATCGAAAAACCAAATGTATGCAAATCCTAGAGACTGTCCAGATTCTTTATCTTTCAAAAGCTTGACTGCCATGAGATAAATCAATCAAAACTGAAGATCCTTAGGGGCTCAAGACTTTCAAAACTATTTTTAAGTTCCATTAATACAAAACACATATACTATAGCTAGCTCCGTAGCATCAACACCGTTGAGCAAAGGTGTGTCTGACATGTGTCAGTGTCTGACCGATGGGATTTTATTCAATTTACATCTTTTTAAGATTACTATTGGTGTCAGTGTGCAAGTGTTTTGTGTGTTAGTCCTTTGCTTCATTTAAAGCAAGTACTTGTCTGAACTAAAGGTTAAATCCAAAGCTAGCTTGGATGTAAAGCAAAGCAACATCCAAAAAGGATTTATTATTACCTTTAGTAACTTCACCAAACACCGAAAACACTTCGGCTAAATACACTTCAGAGGTTGAGAGGGGAAGCCCTGCATTGACCGACCATGATAACTTGAGTAAATTACTTAACAATTTCAATGGAAATAGATGATTTATGTATTTAATTTTGAAAACTATGTATTCGGTATAAAACGCACTAATCCGAGAGAATCAATCCCCCCAAGTCTACTAGCGAAGTCCCATTCAAATTCAGATTAAAGTTTTGTATATATAGACAAAAACACATGAATTATCTACACTTAACGGAATTGGAACTGAGACTATGACTTTGAGAGGAGCACACTCTCAGGTTCCAAACCATCATGTTCCTAACCTTCACAATCATGCCAATTGAAATGGATGATTTACTATGAGACATTGAATACAGCAGTTTAATTGTAGGAGTAAACCTATTGTAATTTTAATATGTCCCCGATTTGTACAAAATTGAAAGAGACCCATAATTGATTAAAAAAAAGTTACCTTTGATGAAGATTTTGGTTGAAGAAGGCATATTACATTCGACAGAAGAGGTGGAGGAGGTGGAATCGGCTATGCAGCAAAAGAGTGGAAAAGGCGCATTGCGAAGAACGTTTGAGGCAGAAATTGAGAGTGAAAGAGTGGTTGGAAATTTTGTTGGAGGTGAAAATGTGATTTTCGATTGTGATTGCTTCGAATTTACAGAACGGGGAAACAGCGCAATTTGAGGCTTGAATAAACTACCACTACCAAGTGCCATTGTTTTGGGCGGTAGAGTTGAGTTCGCGAAGATGAGGGGTTATGGAGAATTTAACCTGCCTAAAACCCCCCCATACCATACACCCCACTTCATTTAATATTTCCAAAAGTGTTCAGATGTGCCTACGAGATTTTCGGTAGATAATTCAAAAAAAATTATATAAATAAAATTTTTGGTAGTGTATTTATAATTTCCAACATGAATTAATATTGAGATTTTTAAATATTTTTAGTACGTTTGAAATATTATCTGTATTTTTAGAAAATATCATGTTATATTGGAATTTTCAATTAATGTGAAATTTTCGGTAGTGCAATTTTATAAAATTTCTAACGGTTAGAATTTTGTCGATGATTTTATACGACTGTGATTGCACTGTTCATTTTGTATGGTCTAGAATGAATACGAAATTGTATAAATAAGGGTCATTTGTTGTTGAGAAAAAACATCTCAAAATGTCTCTTTTTCATTTTTTATTAAGGCAAAAGTGTACTTCAACAAAGAGAAACCTCATGTAGAGTTCCTTCCTGATGGCACAATATCTCTCGTCGTTTTAACATCCAAGTTGAATGATTTGTTGCTTGATACTAATAACAAAAAGTGAGAAAGGTTGAGTTTCGTGAAGATTAGATTAATACTGATGGAATGGTGAAATACAACCTTATTCAATTGAAGAATTGATGAAGATTTGACGGTTATGTGGAGATCATTTTGCTGTAGACTAACTAATGGATCGATCGAGTTTGATGCAAAGATTTCAAGATCTATCAACGACATAATTAAGATGTTGTAATGTCTAGAATCATTTGGTAGTGTTTAGGTTTTCATGTTTCGTTATTGTTAATTTATGTTAGTTTCAATGTCTTAAGTTATGTTCATCTTCGAAACATGTAATTGTCAAAGTATTATGTAACAAAAGGTACGGTTTTCAGTGAGAATTAGTTGGAACTACTTGTCCAGTATGTTGCTGGGAAGACTTTGCCTCAACAACTCTAGCCTGAGTTGTCGCTCTATCTGTGGTTCTACAATGGTGTCATCCTTTCCCCTGGTCTTCACTGTAAAATGAAAAAACGCAACAAAAAAAATCAGTGAACTACCGCCAATTTCGAAATTTCCTACATATCACCAAGATTTCTGAAATTTCCTATACGAATTTCAAAATTTAACTATCGAAAATTCTGAAATATTCGATACAATTTTCAAAATTTAACTATAGAAAATTTTGAAATTTCCGATAAAATTTCAACTTTTTGAACTGTCGAAAATTCTGAAATTTTTGGTATCCTGCTATGAATAAATATCGGAAATTCTGAAATTCCTAATAAAAAATGCATGCGAAAATATAGAAATTTCTAAAAATCTCGGTAAGAATCTACAGGATTGTACCGAAAATTTTGAAATTTCCAGTAAATAACTTACTTTTCACAAGATTGATGGTAAAAGTGTGAAATTTCTGATATCACTCTGGAGGTTTTGTAATTAGCGTAAATTTTGAGTGGATTTTGAAAAATAGTTAAAAAATTTGCAAGTTTATAGTCAATCTATTGATCTTGTGGAAGTGCCAAGTTTAAATGGGGGGTGGCAGGATCATTATTTGGGCCCAAAAACTAACAATGCTCAAGAAGTCTATGTGGCATCCATATTAGTGATGTCACTATCATATTTTTCAATTATGATAAATTTACATTTGTTACTAATTACCTCGGGAAAATGGCTCTGGAGAAAACTAAGCGATCAAATAGTGTTCATCTTTCTTTTGCCGCCATTAGGTTTTCTTCTTCTATCCTCAGTACGTCATTCTCCATGCATCATGTATGCAGTTACAATCCGTTGGTCTTTCCTTGGAGGAGCCAGAGAACAAAACAGCCTTTCCAATCTAAATTTTCAACAAAGTTCGCTTCGAAACCACCAAAATTGTTTGCTCAGGAAATTTCAACAGTTTGCAACATTCCACTTTCTCAGCTTCCCCAATTGTGCGTCAAAGGACATAGGCTTGCAATCTTGATTTTAAAGGAGGAATATTTAGTCAGAATTGAGGCATGTAAGCACAACTTACATGGAAGGATTATTTGGCCAAAAAGGTTCATCACCTCTAACTGTGGTTTTCTTGAAGCACAAGTTAACTCCTATGTGGAAGGATTTATAAAAATGGGGAGTTATCTCTCTTGGAAAAGGCTTTTACGAATTCACTTTCTCATCGTTGGAGGGCGTAAGAAGAGTTCAATCTGTAGCTCCCTATAATCTGGAGCCAGGTTACCTTTAAAATTTTCCTTGGTCAAGAGATTTTAATCCAAATGTGAAAAAGAATACAAATGCCCAAGTTTGGATCAAACTATATGGCCTGACCCAAGAGTATTGGAGACCAAAAATTCTTTTCAATATCGCTACTATCCTTGGAACCCTGATTTGCACTGATTTTGTTGCATATAAACCTATGGTAGATAAAAAAATTGGTCAATTTGTAAGGGTGTTGGTGGACCTGGGTTTGGCTCAACCATTAAGACATAAGGTTTTAGTGGAGAGAAAAGGCTTTGCCTTCTTTGCAGAAATTAACTGTGAAAACCTTCCTGATTTTTGTGACCATTGCAAGGTCATTGGACATCATGTCTCTCAGTGCAAGAAACTTATGGGATTGGATGAGGTTGCTAAGAAAATAGAGGTTCAAAGAAAGCACAAAGTGGATGAGAAAAAGTAGTATGTGCAAGTCAAAGATGGCATATTGGACATTCAAAAAGCTAAAATTCCTATCAATGTAAAAGACAATGACTTATATACAAGTCCTTCAAATATTGCATAAATTCCTATGGAAGATGTGATAACAAGCCCTATTTTGAAGGTTCATGGTTAGGAAAAGTCACCAATAGTTGAAATTCACAATATGTTCAGAGAGTTGCATGTTGTTTCTGAAGCTGAACCTAGCTTGGAAATGGAAACTTTAGAAGGCCATGCCATACAAGTGCACTCATCTAGCAGAGATGACTCTAGTATTGACGGCTCTCAATTTATTGATGTCGCTCAAGAGGTTGGAAATGAAGCAATCTTTGACAAATTTGGCAACATAAATCAGGAAAACATGAGGTTCTTAAAAGAATCTAGGGCTAACATAGTTGAATTGGAGGACAATGAGGTTGTAATTCAAGATGTAGTTGACAAGTAAGTATCTCTTTTTGCCTTCAAATTGATTTCTTTTATATCAAGTAAGAAAGCAAGCCATAGGGGGAAGGTATGATACCAGATCAAAGACTGGTTCCAAGGCCTTCAAAATTAAGTGCCTCTTCTGGAATTTAAGGGGATTGACAAACTCCCTTACAAGGTTGGCCTTGAAGATATTATTAATCTCTAACAATCCTGATGTCATCCTTATTGTACAACCTTGAATGAACATTTTTGTCCTTCCTTTTATATGGTTACACAGACTTGGTTTAAAATTATTTTCCCTGAATGAGAAAGGTAATTCTTTTCCAAACCTCTAGTGTATTTGTAAAGAGAATCTCAATCTTGAGGTTTTGCAAGTTGATGATCAATATGTAGCTTTCATTCTATCTTACGCAAACATCACTTTTGGCATAGTGTCAGACTATCTTTCTACTTGTTATATTAAAAGAAAAGTCTTGTAGTTTAAGCTCAAGGACTTAGGCAACATTCATAATTTACCTTAGTGATTCATGGGTGACTTTAATATCATCTTAGGGTTAAATGAACGTCATGGCTTCATCTCTCCAACTAAATTACCCATGTTTGAGTTCCAAGAATGGACTAATTCTCCAGATCTTCATCACTTACCAAATAGAGGATCTTGGCTAACCTAGTCTCATAATAGACAGGGTGAAGCTTTAACTGAAACAAGATTGGATAGATCAATATGTGACCAGCTTTGGATTAGGCTTTGTAATGATATTTCTTGTTCTACTCTAATAAAAAACAATTATGGTCATCATCCCATTTTGACTTGTTTCCATTTTGGTTCTATATTTTTTTTCCTCTCAGTTCAAATTCTTCAAAATATGGTCATTTCACCCTTCTTGTAGAGGGTTAGTCTCTTATTCTTGGAGAACTACCCTTTATGGTTGTCCTAGGTCTGTCTTGAGTTGCAAGTTAAATCTTCTCAAGAATAATTTAAAAGAGTGGAACACTAACACTTTTGGTAATGTGCATAATTAAGTGAAAGATGTTAAAACTTCCTTATTTGAGAATCAAGATCAAATTCAAAAAAATGGTTTCTCTGTATAAAAAGAGGAATTAAAAGCTTAAGCTACTATTAATTATACCTTCAAGAGACAATAGTGGTTATGGAATGAGAAGGCTAGGTTGAATTGGCACCTTAAGGGTGATAGAAATAAAGCTTACTTCCATAGGATGGCAAAGATAAGGAACTCCACGAAGGCAATGACATCCATCAGGGTTGGAAATTCTATTCTTACTGATCCTCCTCGAATTAATGAACATGTGATCAATTATTTCAAGAACCATTTTGGCTCTGATAACATGGTGGTATTGTGCATGAGGTCATATCTAAGCTCATTGATGACAAATTAAACCAGATCCTAACCATGATACCTTTTGATGTTGAAGTTAAGAATGTATTTTTTAACCTCAACAATTATAATGCTCCTGGGCCTGATGGCTTTGAAGATTTCTTTTTCCAGGAATATTAGGACATTATTCATCAAGATGTTATAAAAGCTATTATTGAATTATTCACAAAAGGATGGTTACTTCCAAATTTTAATGCAAATACTATCATTCTTATTCCAAAGAACCCTGGTGCTGACATAATAAATCAATGCAGGCCCATAGCAAGGGCAAACTTTAAATTCAAAATAATCTCTAAAATCTTAGCAGACAGACTTTCTCAGCTCATGCCTAATCTCATCATACACAACAAAAAATATTCATTAAAAGTAGGAACATCAACGGTTTCATTTTCCTTGCTTCTGAATCCACCATTCTTCTTCACTCGAAAACCTTTTGTGGAAACTTAACTCTAAAGATTGATGTCA